CTTCGCGACTTCATCACTCATTTTGCTACTGTGATGAATCGGGCGGCCCCTGTGAAAGGGCCTTTCGACCCCCAACAGGGTCGCGACCCATAGGTTGAGAACCGCTGCTCTAGCTAGGGTCGCCTGCTAGGAGCTGGGATTGATGTGGTGGGGGTAAGTTTGGTTCTTTGGAAGAGGTCAAGACTAGCACAACCACGCCCCCCACCCCCACCCAAGACTGAGGAACGGACAGGTTGGAGCTCGGAGGGTGCATAGTCCCATGGGTCCGGGCTATCACTGCCCTCCCTTTGGGGCCAGCCTGGTCAGCGTCTGAACTGCAGTTACACCATCTGCAAACTGAGACTAAACAATCCTCCGAGGGAGGTCTAAGCGGGGTTGGAGGGGAGGGGGCATGGAAGCACCTGGTGGGGGTTCCTTGCTTGGCTTTTCTCCCCTCCACCCCCTCCTGCCTCAGTCTAAGTCACTTCTTAAACAGGAAACACCGGCTGCCTGGGGCCCACCGTAGCGGGGGTGGAGGGCTGTCCCTGTGCCAGGCCCTGTGGGGCTTCAAGGGCCCTGTGTCCTGGCCCTGACCCCTGCCACTACAGCCTGCTCCAGAGCAGGTCAGGGTGCCAGTGGCTTGGGCAGCCCCAGGGACTGACGCTGGTGACCTCACCCTTGGGGAATGCCTGTTGGAATTCACCCTGCGCCTCTGTCCGCCCGCCTCCAGACAATCTGGCTCTTCTTGCAGGCAGGTGGCCTGCCCCCCACAGCCGAGCTACCTGACTGCTCCTGGTTAATGAGAGGTGAGCTGGTGACCATAGGCCAGTGGCGGCTACCTTGTTTCCTGCTACTCGGAGGGGGGCTAGTGTTGGTGCCCCCCCCCCCAGTGGCCCTGTACCTCCAGCATCACCCATATTATCTCTGATCCCCTGAAACCCCCCTGAGACGGAACGATGGTTCCCATTTCACACAAGAGGAGGCTGAGGCCACAGTTAAAAAATCTATAATAATGGCACGGTCAGCAATGAGGACAAGGAAGAAGGAAATGCTCTTAAGATTGATGGTGGGAACCAGCGTGCGTGCGGCTCTTCTTGATAGAACCGAACTCTAGAATGCTGTGCTATGTGGGAGAGGTGCCGTTAAAATGGCTTTCTAAAAAAATTTTTTTTAAATGACTTTCTAAAATTCTTTTTGAGGAAATAATGAAAAGAAGAGAC